GTACGTATTTTTAGGGCCTGACATTACTTGATCATTTCCTTATAAAACATTGCTATGATGTACCTCCTCCCAACTAGATAATTCATAGTAAAAAATGGAGAGTCCAAATCAGTACTTTGTCATGCCACATGAATAAAAGGCTGCAGCTGTTAGTAAGATCTTAGGAGAAGACGGATGAGGAAGAAGAATTTTCCTTGCTGAGACCCAGGAATCTTACATACAAGCATATTACTGCGAGCTCTGAATATTATATCAAAGACTGCAGTTTTGTGGTATGCAGCTGACATATGGTTATATATATGATTCAACAGTATATAGGCTTACTTAAAGGGACCATCCACTCAGTGGCAAGTGACAAAGTCTATGTAATGTTCATCCTCTGACCACTTTATACACACCTCTTCAACAATTCCCAGACCCTCCAACTTCTGTGGCCACCACTGCACAATACCCTGTGCTTCCAGTGATAGAGACTTATTGGACTTCCTCCCATAATACAGGGTCATGTCCGGAATTGTCAAATCACTGCTTCCTCTGAGATCTGACACTAGGTATTTTGGTGGCAACCCAAACAGACAGGAAGAAGTGGGAGGAGAACACTAGAGAGGTGAGTAGAAATTGTTCAAGGGGTGAGCTTTATACGGACACTGCATCTTTGCCCTGGGAAAGTTGATAGGGTCACTTTAAGGAAACCTTTATAAAAGATATACACTGTCATCATTGCTGACTGCATTCTAAGAATATTAGTTGCCTGGCTGTCTCTGATTTCAATACTTTCTTTGTCACTGACCTAGAGCAAGCATGTAGGTTAGACTGAGGTGAGAATGTTTACCAAGTCAGTGCCTCAGAAAGTATTGAAGTTTCTGGATCAACATAAGAGACAAGCACCTTTCATAAGGAGTGGTCAGCAAAGGCAACCTCCATATTTTGCTCAGTATAGGCTCCACCTGTCAATCCACCCATGATATGTTGGTTATGGATACATGCTGGACGGTTGAGACACCAATTGTCTTCTTTTTTGGTGTCTCTACTGGAGAGATCACACTGTTGACAATAATATTCTGCTCCTCAAATGTGGTGTTCTTTCTCGTTTTGCTGTTAGAAGTGTACCAGTCCTCCTGCTCCAGTCTCTTTAAGAATACATGGATAACCAAAACAGATAGAGAAGGAGATCCCTTTGCAATGACCATGGCAGGTAGGTGGAATTTAGGTGCAGAAATCTCTCCATCACAGTTCCCATGTATGAATCTGTTGATTAGTTCATCCTATCAGGAGCATCTATTCATAATGGAAATACAAATAATTGGTTGGGATGACCCTTCACTAAGAAAGCAATGGCAAAGAGCAGTAACCTTTGACATCCAATCAGCATTCAGCTGTTTATTGTCTTGACTGTTCTAAACTGGAAATGGTACAATCTGCTTGCCCTGGACTACTACACTTAGCTCAGGATCACGGCTCTATTTATATATTTCCATAAAAGGCTACATGTGCAGTTCCTACTTTTCATCATCGTCGTCATCTTCATCCTTGCTTGGTGCACATTTATGGAAGCAGTGCACAGTTGTCGCCAGGAAGAAGCTTGAAAAAATGGCAGCTATGGAGACAGCTACTCCAGAGAAGATAATGATTAAAAAGTCTGTTAATGACAAGCTGAATTTGCATTCGCTGAAGCTGATATCGGACAGCTCATGCAGGAAGACTTTTCGATCCTCTAAGATGCACTGAATTTCCTCCACACCTGGGGAAAAAAGGGAAAAGTGTAAGATTTAAAGTCATGGGGTCCACATAGGTTTGGACAAGAGACTGCCTGAAACAATACCTGAAACAGTTGAGATCCCCAACACACTTCACAGCTCCCTGTGTGTACAAGTCCTGAATCATTTATTCTGACATTTTTAATCATTTTCTTTATCCTTTTTATATATAGGTGAATACCAACCAATACAAATATAATAGTGAATGTACTGTGGCCTCAAGGATACAGTTGACCTAAGGGTAGGTGAAACCTAAACAATATCCCTGCAATTTAGCAATTACGGACGGAGAGTCCAAATGCTCAGACCCTCAGGGGCAAAGTCTATCAAAATGGTTGTGGTCTTAAGTAATTATAACATCTAGGAAAGAGTTTTTGGACATTAGGCTGGTAGCAAAATATCTTAAAATTTAAACTATTAGTTTTGATTTTTGGTGGTTTTCTGAGATACACATAACATGAAAAGTATATCTGATGCCAGGTCCACTTTAAGGTAAGCTGCACTATCACATATAATTTATGTGCGGGGAATTAGAAACGTCAGCACAGAAAAAATATTGTATTTTCAGAGAAATAAAAAATGTTATCACCTTCCATATCCTGCATATAAGCGCTGCCTTAATGAGTGATCCCATGTCATTAAAACAAATATATTACAGGTCCTTGTGATAGATCAGTTGTGTTCCCGATCAATTTTTTGCCAAATTGGCCTACATGCCCTGCGGTAATCCCAGAACCTATAAGCTAGTGACATGCACACATTAGGTTCTTCAGTCTCTTTTCTTAGCCAGTCTATGTAGCCTGAGATGTAACCTTAAAGGAGAACTGTACTTTCATAAAAATATATATATATACCATATACAGCCATTTTATAATTTATTGTTGTTAAAAATTACCTTTCCATTTCGATCTGAAGTTGCTGTAATTCAAAATATTCAATGCAGTATTGCAGTCTGGAGGCATTCAGTAAACAGGTGGTATACGGAACACCCCCAGAGAATGTAATTTCCTGCTTGTGTTATTGGCTGACCAATTTTTCCAAAAGTCTGAACTAAGAAACAAGTTAAAATTTTAGACATCTCCTGCAATAGAAATCTTATTTTTGGTGAGCTACTCCCTGAGACACAACCATTTTTGTTATTAGAACTCTGAAAGTGCACCGGGTGGTTATAATGAAACCGACCCTCCCATTCAGGAATCAGTCTGGAAAGGACATAGTGAAACAAACAGCTATTTCATGAGAGCAGACAACGGTCAGAATCTGCAACAATGTTTGAGAAAATCCTTTCAATGTGCTTTGATCACCCAGAAGTGGAGTTACATTTTCAAGTAGGTGTAAACCCAATCACTAAAATCTGTTAAAGAGAAGCTAAAGTCTGTCCGCCTCCATGGTTGCTGGCAGGCCCAGCCTCCTCCGTCACTGGGCCCCACCTCCTCTTCTGTTGCCGGGCCCCGCCTCCTCTTCCATCGAGAAGGCCCTCCTCCGCTTCTGACGCCGGGCCCAGCCTCCCTGCTCCACAGCTGCTAGCTGTCACTGACTCAGCAGCGACTGTGAGGAGGAACGCGCCGCTGACCGATTACTGACAGGTTGCGGGTGATCTAACAGTGACACGTTCCTCCTCACACCCGCCAGTGACAGCCAGTAGCCTGAGATGCCATAGCGACCCAGATGGCCCGCACGGCATCAGGGTGATGTCCTGCCTGGGCCCCCTGTGCACATAGCGGCCGCCTGGGTCACTATGGTGATTGTTACGCCACTGGCCAGCTTAACACAATCCTAAGAAATGTAAAATACTGTTTAGGAACACTCCTATGCTCTATTTATCATTTATATAATATATTCTTCGAGGCCCATGAGGGGCTACATAACAAATTAATCGTAGTAAATAAGTGTTTTCTGCAATTATATGCTGTTCTCCTATGAACAATCTAAAATACACAAACACTGTTAGTATCTGCCAATAAATAAAGCTAAAGCGTAGAAACCCATTTAGACAGGTCTCTAATACCAGGTACATTTCTGAGAAAAAGGCTTCAAGTATTTAGTTAGAGTGGCAATTATTTATGTTAGAGGAGTAATAGAACTCTGCGGCCACAAAGACCTGTTTTTATGGGGGGATTAGTTGCCACTGACATGGAGATTTTGTTTCAGACTTTCACTAAAGATATCACGGTGAAATGTATTAAGGTGCCATTTAGGTTTGTTCTTAACGAGACAATGTCACATTGCCAATGCAGGGGATCTTTGCAAAGTGCATTTGACCACCCCCCGTGTTTCCATATACATTAATGGTATGTCAAGGCAAAAAAAAATTATTATTATAATTGTACATGTCAAAAACACATGCAGATTTCTCCATGTTTTCTCCATTTAAACACATTGCCAGTGCTGTTTATCTAGGCACTCACCAAGGGTGGCAATAAGACAGAGCCAGTCAATCAGTGACTTCACCTCTACAGAGCTCTCTGTTTTTGTTAGCAGCCATGTATGTGTACCACTGCTGAGGCTGTTCCAAGGTTTCCCAAAGCAGGTGGAGTTGAGCTTTAAAATAACTTGCTTATTATTTGGTTTTGGGTATAAGTTTGCTGAATTATCACATGCATTACAAAATACATCTAGGTCATGAAGAATGAAGATGCTGGAAAAATGCACATGAAGGCAACATGGGAACTGAAGCACATAGGGAGATATTTGTAACTATATAACGATAAGGAATGCAAAAAAAGATAAAATAATGATTAACAAACATACTAAATATAATATACACTAAATAGCTAGATATAGGGTTGCCACCTGTCCAGTTTTCACCCAGGCAGTCCGGTTTTGAAGTCTTGTGTCCAGCCAGTGGACACCCGGACACAAGACACTCAGTGCCGACACCGGCACTTTTCTACTCAGTGCCGACACCGGCACTTTTCTGACAGATGCGGCTTCCGAGGTCTTCGGCAAGCGCAATCTCGGGCAGCCGCATCTGTGATTGCTCCTCCTTCTCCTCCTCCAGCTCCCTGACTTCCTGCTGCCTGACTGTGGACCCCTGGTGAGACACCATAGCGCAGAATGTCCTGAGAGCCGCACAGCCCACCTGAGAGCCGCACAGCCCACCTGAAAGCCCGCACAGCCCATCTGAGAGCCCGCACAGGCTACCAGGACACATCAGGCCGCCAACCCAGAACAACACAGAATATGCAACTTGATATTATTTTGTATTGCTGTATAATGTATTGCTGGAATTTGTAGTCCTCTATAGCTGGTCTCCTTACTCCCTCTCCTGGCTGCCTCTCCTCGCTCTCTCCTCTATATTCCCCAAAAGAAAAATTGCCATGCAAAGCGCTAGAGTGTTCGGGTTTCACTTGAAGAAAAGGTGGCAGCCCTGGCAAGATATAAACTCAAAGCTAAGAAGGGGAGGCGGTGCCTAAATTTAAAAAAATCCAGATCTATGACAAAAATATCCCAGGGGTCTTTCCAGAGCACACCTAGGGCATGATTTATTAATCATTCTCGACCACAAGATGGAGTTGAGGAGCATAGGAATTTCCTATGATATATGGCTCCATCTAGTAGTGAGAATGCAGTGCAAATGGCATTCAGCCAGCGTATGGCTGGGCAAATTATTTAAAAATCACCCACCTAGAGTATTGGGCACAAATAGTAATTTTCTTTTATTATTAAATAAATCCTTCTAGAACCCCTCAGTCCCTGTTTACATATATGTGTAATATGGGAACGAGTGTGTTCCCACATTTGCATGAGATCACCTGTGGCACGTGAAACCATTATTTCTTAATGAAAACCCAACGCACCTAGGCATTGCATGTGTGCTGCGTCACATCACTGTAACTTATTACAATGCATTGTGGTGTGAGTTAAAAAAGGGATCATGTACTTCTTTGCTACCTTGTAGAGGCAATAGGCAGCCCATTGAATGGGTGTCCTACTGTAATGCACAATAACGCCTCTATAAATGTGCTGCAATGTCTGAACCCAAGCTTAAAGTCCATCACTGCATTGTGATACCTTACTGCCAAAGATATGTGGACAACACCCCTCCAAACTGGGTGTTACCAGTCAAGGGTACTTTTAATACTACAGCATATAAAGTCTCAGGAGTAGCCACCACACCCTATTTGTAACATAAATGCCCGGGTGCTCATTCAAAAAACTAAGCATATCTACAAAAGATTGTACCCCACGGTGTCCCACTCAGCTCCTGGCAACCTTGACTGGTTGCCGGGAGCTGCACAGGACACCGGCCGAAGCATCCCAGGTTGCTAAGAGCTGGGCGGTGAGATGTGTATGGCCCTTTCACATCTCCCCGCCCTGCTTTTAGCACGCTTGGATGGTCTGGCCGGTGTCCCGCCCAGCTCCTGGCAACCAGTGACTTCACTAGGCAGGATGCTGGCCAGAGCATTAGTAAATGCTAAGAGCTGGGCGGGGTGCCGGCCAGAGCATCGGTGATTGCTAAGAGCTGGGCGGGATTCCGGCCAGAGCATCGGCGATTGCTAAGAGCTAGCTCATGCCCATTTTTTTTAAGACTCTAAAGACAAATGAGCACCAAAGAGGTTAATGCGCAGACATCCGAACTCGCTGTTTTGTAAAGTTTGAGAAGTACATTTTGAGGGCGGGTTATTGTCAAATATTCATCATGTAATATAACTGCCTTTATATTACTCTTCAATAAATAATGTTTCAATAAAATGTCAGATTAGCAAAAGAAATTTCATAAGGATCTAAATTGTGAGTTTTAGAAACTTTATTTGTGACAAGCGCATAGACGGAGACAAGCGACGAAAATGTCTGGAGGCGACTTTAATAAGGTAGCGATCCCTCGTGCGTTATTATTAGGCTAATGCTTTTCTTTGGTGCAGCGATGCCCCCGGCTCACACCCCGGGAAGCCGATCAGTCGGCATGCAGAAAATGAAGGCTGCTTATTCTGTTTGAACTCTCCCGTCCTGTAACTGCGCTACACGACCGCCAAATAACTTC